GATAAGATGGAAGGGCACTTTAATCCCAGCAGGCAGAGGCAGGCTGATCTTGTGAGGTCTAGGCCAGCCTGGTCTACAGAGTGAGTTCCAGGACAGCCAGCGTTACATAGAGCAATTCTGTCTCAAAAAACCAAAGGGGGTGGGGAGGAAGAAAAGTCAAGGATGAGTCCCATCAGCCTTGGGTCTCCACACATGTGCTCACAGACATACAAACATGCTTGCACATACACCCACATGAAAATGGAAAATAAATTTCAGGTATGACAAAGCATTGGCTGCTAGCATGAAGGAAATACATGAACCCAGTCATCTGTGCATGGGGCTGAGCTTCCGGACACTCTTGGGTCTTTTCTGGTTGACCAATGTGGTTAGGGTAAACAGCTTCAGCCAAACCTGTCCACCTGACTCTCCAAAAGATTGCCATCTCTGGAAGGAGGAATTTTCCTCTCCCTCAGGCACACAGCTGAGAAAAGAACAAGTCTCTGGACCAAAGTGCCCTCGCCCTTTACACAGGTACTCTCCTGGGCTGCAGAGCTGCACTCTGACAAGCTGTCTCCAGAACCACAGATAACAGCGTTCCAGGAAACACTGCTGTCCTCTGGACAAGACTTCCATTGTCCATAGGCAAGACCCTGCTGAAGACCTGGATAGCCATGGCAACAGTGCTAGCTTTAAAGACCTGCCAGGGGAAAGTTAGCCCAGGTTTCAAGACAAGGAAGAGCTGGTAACTGATCTGTGTTTATCTCGATGGTTGCTGTAGATTGGATAACAATTTGTGTTTTCCTTTTTTCTTTGGCTGCTGGGAAGCTCTGATCAGCCTTTGATTCCCCTTTGCAAACTGGGTTTGCTTTATAATACATCCCTGCTCTGTAGATTATCTCTGATTTGACCTCACTTTCTGGCTTGTGTGTTCCTTTTAACTTAGTTCATTATGAATTTTCAGTTGCTTTTTACCTACTTTTGGTAAGGTCAATTGTCTTATGGAATGGGGAGCTTTGGGGAGAGCCTATAGTTTGTAAAAAGCACCAGGTCACCATTGTAATAAGACTCTCTCTAATTTGTTGAGGATCAGCATGAATACAGCACCGTCTTATTTACCTGAGCTATGAGGCCTTTTTATTATTCCCATTTTACAGAGAAACTGAGTCGCATAGAACTGGGGAGATTTGCCTAGGATCACACAGCAAACCAGCAATAAACTCAGGCCAAGGAGTTCTAAAGTACACAGCACACAGGTAATACTCAGTTTCTATTTGCAAGAAGTGGAAGCACCCTGATATCACAAGTTGAATCTGAAAAGTCTTCAGCCCTCCGGAGGCTCTTGGGATCGTTTTGTACCTCTTAGCTTAGCCCTGGCAGGAGTCAGCTATTAGCTCCTGGGAGCAGTGCACAGTAGCCTGGGTGCCTTGCTCTGACAGCTGCATACACTGATCTGAAGCCACCGTGCCCCCTCCCTGCTGACCCTGGAGCTGACTCTAACTTCCGGTCCAAAGATAGGTCTGGTCTGTCTCTTCTGGGTGCTGCCATCTGAGACTCATCCTGTCACTGGAATCCATCACCCAGAAAGGATGGGATGAATGGTCCTTCCTGCACATTTTCCCAATGGTGTCTGGCTCACCCAGTGCCCATATAGCATTTTTACCACATTTGTTCTGTTTCAGTGTATCCCCCCCTGACGTGCAAACACTGTCATTGACAATGCAATGTGTGGCTGCATACCTCATGTGGGGAAAGCCCCTTTATGTGCCCTGCCACATAAAGGAAAGAGCCAGATCAAGTAGCCAGGGGAGGTTTCAAGTGCATTAGTGGCCAGAGCCAGGGAGAAGCACAGGGCATGTCTTCCCAGCATCAGTGGGCACCGAACTGCTCTCCGGCTCCACAGCAGTGCCAAGGGAACTAACTAATCATTTTTCTTGCCAAGCTGAACTCCGACTTACTGGTTTCCTCTTCAGCTTTGTTTTGTCATAGGCTATCAGTCAACTTAGTCAAACATTACAATTCCTTTCTAAATCTTTCAGCAGCCAGATGGCAGGAGCACCGCCATGAGAGGGTACACCTCACTAGGAGATAACTTTGTGACAGGTTCACAGCGGAGGGGACCCACACATAGACACCTTGGTAGCGCTTGCTCAGTGGTCTCTGTCCCTAAACCCCACAGACCCCAAAAGGCAAATGTTCATTGTGCAGTCAGAAGCTTGCGGTAAAACAAACATATTTCTATGTCTCTAGGTTTGAGATGTAGAGCAGGCATAGAAGGTCATTATCATGTATCAGGGCAAAATTCTCAGGACTGCACTCTTCTCATAATGCGACTGTGTCCTGAAAATTCATCATGTCTGCAGAAGATAAATTTTATTTCTTCCATTTTACATTTTTCTCCCCCCCCTTTTTTTTTTGGTGTGTGTATGTGGTGTGTGTAGTGTGTGTGGTGTGGTGTGTGTGTGTGTGTGTATGTGTGACATTGAACTTGTGGAGGTCAGAGAACAATTTGCAGGACCAGTTCTCTCCTCCCACCACATGGGTTCTGGGGACTGAACTCAGATTGTCAGACTTTACCCACCAAGCCATCTCACCTGCCCTTTTGTAGCTTTTTAAACACTAGCACTAATTATGTCTCTTCTATCTGTCAGCCATAGAAGGCAAAAACTGTTGAGGCTTCCTGATGAAAACCCTCTCTGTTCTCCTGTGTTCATCTCAGGTGGTGTTGTAGCTCTTTGCCTGGCTCTATTATTTCTTTTTGTGTGTCTGTTGGAATGACTGCAAAATCTCAACCTGTGCTGTACCGTTGCTGAACAATAACCAACCGCCTGAAAAGAGCGTTGCCAGGCTGGGCCAGCTGGCTGTCTCCCATTCCTGAAACTGAATGTTCTTAGACACTCACTCTCTCCTCCGCCCCTTCTGCTGCTGGCTGACTGAGTGTAGCGCTATGTCACACTCACGAGTGTCTGAAAACCGAGGCTCCTGGAAAGACTAAAATGGGGTGCACTAGTAAGGCAGCCTGACTCCTGTCCAGATGAGGACACCAAAAATTGCATATGTTTGGTGCATTTCTAGTTTGAAGTCCACAGACCCAGGTCCTTCTCCTTGGCTTCCTTGAGCTACTCAGTTAGTCCCTGTCACTTCGTATTTCTCATCTGTGAAGAGGCACGGTGATTGCAGGAACCACAGGACTCTTGAGTTAATGCTTAAGGAGGTATTTACAGTGCCTGGCCAGTTCCTCTTACTTCTCCGCTGTCTTTTCTCTCCTGCCCTTCTCCCTGTTTTCCTGATTTGGTGTTTGTGGGTTTAAAATGCATCTCTGAAGTACATTAGCCGGAAGACTACAGCAGTCTGTGCACTGCCATGGCCAGCGCCCTTCAGCGTCAAATTGTTCACTTAAGTTGTTACTGAAGAGGAAAAAAAAAAAAAAGACACCAGTCACATGCACAAGTCTAAAGCACATAACTCCCTGAGTTTCTATATATGAGGAGCATGTCCAGACTCACTGTGCCTTGAAGGCCTGCCTAGGGCAGTAGGAAGCCCAATGGCTGTCCGCTTCTGCCCACTTCTCTACCACAACTCTTTAGCCTAGAGAAGACAGCTTTTAGAAGAAAGCTGGGGCTGGGCAGATGGCTGGGTCTGGATGGAGTCCTGGGCTTCATTCCCAGCACTCCCACCGTGGCTCAGACTCATTGTGTCCACAACTCCAGCTCCAGAGGATCCAACGCTCTCTGCTGACCTCTAGGGGCACCAGGCACACACAGTGGTGTGTAGACATACAGGCAGAGAAGACTCACGCAGAAAGAAAAAGGAGTGCCTCTTAAAAACAAGGCTGGTGTGTCTGGTGATTAAAATACTGACGGGTGGCAAGAAACCGTCTTCTGACCATCTCTGCGGTGATAAGGACTCTAACCAGGAGAAGACTGAGGTACGCTAACTTTCAAAGTCTGCCCAACACATGCCCTCATTTACGTCCAAAGACTGCAGGCACAGAAGTGGAATACCAACGTCAGGCCCGTGACTGTCCTCAGACTGTCCTCAGAGTGTGTGTCAAACATGATTGTAGTTTGTCCTGAGGCCACTAGACAGGCTTCCTGGATTTTTCCCGAAGAACATCTATCCAACTAGAGGCCTCCGGTACTCGGCCTCAAGCGGCTGGCAGGCATTCCATGTGTGCAGAAGGCACTGTTCCCGAGGAGGAACGAGAGTTAGTTCAGCGAGAGTTAGTTCAGCGCACTCCTTTCTCAAGTTTGCTCCCCTTGAGCGCCTGTCTAAGTATGCAAGGGAACGGCCCCAGTGACCCAGCCCTCCATACCTCCAAAGGAATTTAAAGGCCCTTTGTGGCCAGATATAAATGGCTAGTGATAATGGATAGACACACAAACTTCCTGGCTCCTAACCTCGGGAGTTTTCAGATAAGCCTCTAGGGAGTCAGGACACCTAAGCTCCTGGCCCAGCTCTGTCACTAGGAGCTGTGTGACCTTGGATAAGTCACTTCTCGGCTCTGGGATAGCCTTTCTCCCTGGGGCTGCTCCAGTAGCCTCAAGCCCCTTCTAACAGTGTAGGTTCCCAGGTCTCTCTTAATCTCCAAGACCCTTCCTAGGGACAACCTCCACACCAGCGTGGCCCACCCTTTTGTTCTCAGGGGTGATGTAAGGAAGGGAACCAGTGCCCCTCGGGGCACCAGGCCTCGGAGGCCTCCGTGTCAGCAGCTGCTTACAGGAGATTGCTGCCCTGGGAGGTCACCAAGCAGCCCCGAGGTGACCTCGTGTCGCCATGGTCCCTTTCTGACCCGGTGCGGGCGCGGGTAGACTGATGGGAGAGAGGGCTGTGCGGAACAGCACCCGGGACCGGTAGTCAGGGCTGGGGAGTGCAGTCTGGAGGGGTCCCTGGACACTCTCACGCGCCCAGCGTCCCTGACGCCGCGGGAGGCCACTCCACCTCGGGACTGTCCCCATCACCCCCGGGACAGCACGCGTCGGCCACTCCACCCGGGGCCCGGACGCCAGAGGAGCCGCTACCTGCAGCTGGCCCGGGTCGGGCCGACTGGACTTTAACCGGCGCCGCCGTCCTCGCCGACCCCGCCGTCTCGTTCCCGCCGCCTCGAGGTTCCCGCTGGCTCTGAGGACCGTGCCCCGCGTAGCCTCTGCGCGCCTGGCCGAGCTGGGCTCCGCTCTCCCTGATCGCTCCCGGCCGGGCTCAGGCGCTGCCGGGACGCGGAGGCGGAGCCGCCGCCCCCACCTGCTCGTCGCGGCCGCCGGGGAGCCACGCCGCCTAGCGCACGGGGACGCGGCCCGGAGGGCGGGGCCGCTCGGGCACCCAGGGGGCGGGTCCGGCTGCGCCGCGCACCTCCCAGGTACAGAGTCCCAAGTAGGAGCTGCGGGGACAATGGCGCCTCGGCCCCTAGTTCACCCCGCACGCCACCTCGTCCATGTATTACAAACATTTCTGAGCCCTCGCCGAACCCGAGACAGCGCCATAAGCAAGAGGACAAAGGGGGAACAGGACTGCCTGCCGTCCCGATGAGGGCGAGCAGGTACAAGGCAGAGCCGAGAGGATACCCAGTGTGCACAAGCAGAGGGGCGCCCGATTCAGAGTGGGTCTTGGAGGGTGGGCAGAGAAGCTTGCTCCAGGAGAGTGAAAGGTGAGCACGAAATATCCTGGTAACACAGGGAGGTTAAGTAGCTTCGGGTGGGACTGAAAGGGGAAGAAGACAGTTTGAAAACTAGAGGAAGCCTTCGGAGTGAAGTTGGGTGGCCCGGAATCGCTGTCCCACTTCACTGTCCCCCTGTCCGGTGCTTGGAGGAGCCCGTGTGCCCTGTGCTGTTCCAGGTGCAGCAACGCAGGCGGGCATTGCCTGTCTCTCGTGTCTTAACGCATCCCCGCCAGAGAAGGAAGTCCCGCTGGACTCTTGACTGGTCCTTCAGTGTTGAGGCTCTTCTGAGAGCTTGTTGCTCTGTCCTACCGTATGCTCAAGAAGAAGGAGGCAGGCTCTCTGGCTTTAAAGCCCTGGCTCCAGTGCCCGCAGGAGGTGTATGGGAACACACTTGGGAGAGTCGATGCCAGCCGCTCGCTACCCCACAGGACTGCAGCCTATCTCTCCGTTCACACAGTCAAAGTCTAGATCCCCGGCGGCCCTCAGCTACTTTCCCAAATTGCTCGCATTTACAGCCTGACAGGCTTATGGTTATAGCAGAGATTAACAGTACACTCAAGCTGTCTTTCACTTTTGTGTTGACAAGTACACAGCTTTCCCTTTTGATTTAGGTCAAGAAGGGGTTATGTACAGAACCATAATATGTGATCCTGGGCATGAGACCGGAAGGGTATACTTGAACTAAAAGTCATTAACCATTCCGTATGATTAACTGTTATAAAAAAGTCCAAGGCCTGACCCAAGGCCACTCTTCCAAGACACACAAGGCCACTCTTCGAGGCTGTTAAACCTCACTCTTATTACTTAGCTACTTGTGTTCCGATTCAAAAAGGAAGGAAATCTCGGTTTGCAGAGAAGATAGATTTCCGTGAAGATATATTTCCAGCTTGTGCTGGATGAGCGCGTCCTGGATGGTGAGCTAATACAGAAGTGAGGGACTCAGGGGAGGGAGCCTAGTGGAGGAGGGAGGCAGTGACATCAAACTGTGCCTTCATGGGTGTAGAGACATCTCTAATGCCAGGGACTAGGGAGGGAGGGGTTCAGGGAAGAGAGAGTCTGAAAGATCTTGGAACTCCACATGTCTAAAACTGAACTCAAGAACTCTATGAGAAAAGTTTTTTTATATAAACAAAATACACTCATTTTGGATTTAATGAATATGTATGAGATGATCATGAATATGAGACATGTATGTGCTGAGGTACCCACAATCATGGTCAACGTATAAACTGTTTCTGTCACCCAAGAAGATGCTCATGTGTACCTTTGTCACCAGTCCAGGGAATCACAGGTCTGTCACTGTGAATTTTGTCTTTTCTGGGATTGTATATGCTCAAACCATGTAAAATGACTTGAGACTCATCCGTGTGTTCTGTATGGTTTGTCCCTTTTTACTGCCAATTAGTGTTTCATTGTATGAATATGCCAGTGCCTATTAGTGGACATTTGGGGTGTTTCCAGTTTGGGAATATTACAAATTAAGCTGCTTTGAATATTCATGTCACAGTCTTTTTTGTGAGTAAACACTTTTAGCTTCATAAGTCATTAGCATTTAAAATGAAAATGGCCTTGGGACCATAATGAGATATTAATTCACATCCACAAAGATAGCCATAATGAAACATTGGATAGTAGCAAGTATTGTCAAAGCTATCAGCAACTTGGAACCCTCAGCTGTTGCTAGGAAGAATGCACTCGGAGTGGCATAGGCTCCACAATAGTTTATGTGCTGGCTAGTTGTGCCTCAACTTGACATGCGGGAAGAGGAATCTCAATGGAGAAAATGACTCCATCAGATTGGTCTGTCTGGGGGGGAACGCTTTCTTGACTGATGATTGATGTGGGAGGCCTCTGCCCACTGTAGGCAGTGCCAATCCTTGGCATGTGGCCCTGGGTGCTATAAGAAATCAAACTATGGAGAGCAAGCCGCTAAGTGACATACCTCCATGATCTCTGCTTTCAGTTCCTGACTCCAGGTTCCTGGCTTGGCTTCCTAGATGATGGACTCTAATATGTAAACAAACAAACCCTATTCTTGCCAAATTTCTTTGGTCATGGTGCTTATCACAGCCACCGAAAGTAAACAGGACAGTTTGTCTATTCCCCTCAAATCCGAACAGGAGTAACCACATAACCCAGAAATTCTACTCATATAAAAGAAGCCGAATACAGGAGGGCAAACAGAAGTCTTATACAGCAGTCATTCCTGAACCGTGAGGATATATTCCAAAACTCATGAGAGTCTGGAGCTGCAAGTATTACTGAGTCCAGTAAACCTAACAATGGAATTTAACTTATAAATTAGATACAGTAAGATATTAGGGTCAATAAGAAAATAATTATAACAACATACTGTTCTATCTCATAGTATTGTTCCTTCACCACAGGAAAGCTCATTCCTTTTATGCTGTGGGTAGCAAAAACAGTCATGCATGGAAGACAAGGGCTTCTATGAGAGGTCCCTCTTTGCTTTTCAGACCTGTCACCACCTGGCAAGATTAGTTTTCTTCACCTGCCTTTTCTCAGCTTTTCTGTGGCCCATAGTGTCCATCAATTACAAAGAAGCCCTACCCTCAGATTTGCTGTTGTTGTTGTTGAAATGCCTGTTGGAGTTACGGAGACCCATGGTTTCTAAGAACTCTTTTATGTTATAATGATCACCTGATCAAGCTCATGGTTTAGCTTATAATGATGGAAAGAAGGCTCAGAAGCTAACAGGCTTGCAGAAGTCAGGGGCCTTCTCAGGAGAAAAGCTATACACAAAAGTGAATCCACAAGAGTTCTGTCTCACTGCCCAGCCCACAGCCTAATGCTGGGCATGATCACTGGGACAGCAGCTGGACACATCACACATGATACCTCAGCCCAGTGGTACCCAGTGGTCCTTCATCTCGGTCACCACCACCCTATCACAATGGAAGCCCCTTTAAGAGAATCCTATCTTCCTCATACATTCCTTGCTTCTACTAATGACACAGTGATTCTCTCAAGTCCCAAACTAAACTGGGACTGCCCTATCGTCTCCCTGATTTTACCCCCTGCCATCTGATCTGTCACATTCTGCCTCCCACAGACCTTCTGCTCCTTGCCGATTCCTGCAGCTGTTGTTGGAGTTCATGTCTGGCCTCTTATCATCTTCAAGCCTGGTTCACAGGGCTCCAGGGCTCCAAGGCCCACACTCCTTTCCCTGTAATCACTCCAATCCTTTTCAAATGCTTGCAGGCCCTAGTCATTCCCTTCTGCTCTCAAGACGAAGCCCAAGGAATTCAGTATTATCCATAATGTAATCTCCAAGGCAAGCCCCCATCTCACCTTCTGCCTCTTACCCCCAAAACTACACCATATCTCAGCTAAGCCCTTGGATTCACCATCTGTACTCTGACAGCCTTCACCCAGACTATTTCTTTGTCTCAGAATATCTTTCTGCTTCTGATTTGCTTGAGAACATCTTCCTCCTTCAATATTCCTTCCTTTGAGAAAGCCTTCTGGGCCCTCATGGTGGATCAGGATCTTTAACATGTAAAACCTTCCTAGGCCTGGTAGCTATTTACTCATTTGCATCTTGAAGGCAGAAGAAATACTGTCCTTGTTTTAGGGCCACTAGTGCCTAGCACATCAGAAAACACAGAACAAACCAACACTAAGTCCTTGAATTAGTAAATTAACAAAAAAGGCTTCTTGTGCCCTTTTCACCCTTCTTGGCTGTTCAAGTAGGGTAGTCAGGAGGCAGTTAGTAACATGTCCAAGAAAAATTCTGTATAGTCTTAGAGGTGCCAAGCCAGCTAATATAGGTGCTCTCTCTCTCTTTTAAGTGAGGCAGGGCTCCAAATACACTGCCATAGTGTGAAACTATGGCAGGGTGATGTCATGGACTCTTTCCTTCTTTGGCCCTGAGTTAAATCTCTACTGTGTAACAACTTTCTTTCTACTGCAGAAAACTTTCAAACAATATCAGCATAGAAACCAAATGTTAAAATGAAGCAGTAGCCCAAGGTTATACAAGCACACTCTAGATTGTTCAGCCTTAGGACCCTCTGTACTCACACTCCCTAAACAGACAGGCTGTTTGAGGGATCAGGAGTTGACTGTCCTCAGAAGCCCTGCATGAACGATGACAATGGCAGCATGTGACGTTGCTTAAAGTCCCGTTTATCTATGTCAATGGAGAGGGATGGCTCCTTTCTGAGAAATGTTGGTCCCTGAGACGCCACACCCAGATCTTGGGTAGGCAGGTTTTTTGTTTTTTGTTTTTGTTTTTGTTTTTGTTTTCCCCAAGGAAAGGGCCTTTGTCTCCCCTTAACACTTCTCACAGGTCTCAAGTGGGAATGCAAGATTAGCCACATGTTTTCCTATCATGGTGCTGGTGTATGTTGGCCAGAGATAGTGGAAGGTTGTAGGAAGAGAGGATAATGACAGAGAGCACGGTACACCTTTCCAGTGGAGATCCTCAGCAGTGTTCCACGCTGAAGCAAGAAGAAACAGTGCTGTGGGAACTCCTGATAGATGAAAATAACTCAAAGGACACTTCATGGGGGCGGGGGAGGGAGTCACCCTTCTTGGCTGTTCAAGTAGGTAA